TTTATCGTGGGCTTTTCCTGAGAATTTGGGTGGGCGGCGTCCGAGAGAAGCAACTGGCGTCAACCGTCTGTGCCCTGCCTTCTCCGGCGCAGCTGCAGGACCAGCCCCGCCAGCGCCCATGCCTCCCATGCCTGAAATTGCTGGCTGAGCAGAACCACGAGTCCAGCTTGCTCGGTGGAGTCATGTGCAACGTTAGCCAGCCGAGGCGCCCATCATTGCCGCCATGGGGTTCATGGCATTCATCCCTGGCTGCGGAGGCGCGCCCCCGGCTTTGGCCATCATCTGCTGCATGTTCATCATGTTCATCCTTAGCCCAATGCGCAGCACTAGACTCACTCTAAAGTCGAGGAGAAAACGTGATAATAGTGCCTGACAGTGTGACGCAAGGCAGTACAAGGCTCATCATCATGGCCATCATCGGGTTGTTGCCACCCATCGGTCCCATCATGCCAGGGCAGCCGGCGCAAGCGCCCGGGCATCCGGGACAGGCTCCGCAGCCACCCGGGCAACAGCCGGGACATGCAGCGGGACAGCTAGGGCAGCCTGGACAGCTTGGGCATGCTGGACAGCCAGGAGGACAGCCAGCTGGAGGACAGGCTCCCGGCGGTCGCGGGCAGCCGCAGCCGCAGGGACCGCAGCCGCAAGGGCAACCGCAAGGGCCGCAGCAACCGCCGCACGGACAGCCGCAAGCACACCCACAGCCAGGACAGCCGCAGCAACCGGGACAGCCCCCGCAAGCGCCACCGCAGGGCGCTGGCCCAGAACCCGCAGAGCCGCCTTCCGCAGGAACCAGAGCTGCGTCCTTGCTCTCCATGGCTGGACACCTCTACGTCGTGGTATCAAAGGTTGAGTGTCGGCTAGGCTGGTGACTGGTTAGACAATTACAAATACACCCGCTATTAGTCCTGATTATCATTAATACTGTTTTGTTATTATTATCAGTTTAGTCCTTTTTGTCGGGAATCAGACGCTGGTAATTATGATGCGAGAAGACCACTTTGCTGGACCGTAGCTCACTTTCCTGCTGATTTGTTTTTTGTGTTTGTTCGGCCCCATTGAATCCGCATGGCTGCGGAGACGCGGGAAACCCATGGGCCCGCACTGTAGTTCAAAGGACATTGAAACAACAAAGCAAAGTATGTTCCCAGTCAAAACTGGTAGCTTGTGCACGTAATTTCCCACCACTAGCACCCATCAACCTCACTATTTGCCAGGAAGGTCGTCACTGTGTCCCAAGTGTTGGGTCTGACAAGTTCAGTAAACCATGACCACCTATCTTCCCAAACATGGCTCCCCCACAATGACAGACTCTACGACTCCGACAATGCCTCAGCACGGATACTAGATCAAATGCAACTGCTTTCTGCCTGAGCATGCTTACGTCCCAAACAGGCAGTGACACCATGTTTTCAACAGAGCCGGCTGCGGAACTTTCCAAAGGATGGCGTGCTTCGCCTGTGAGGGCTGGGCAATTGTGCACACTCTTCCCCCTAGAATGGAGAATCAAATGGAAAAGAACATGGAAAATGAAATGGAAACTGGGGGAATATAGGTGCGGCTCATGACTGGACCACATGCGTCTGCATGCGTCTGCGTGCTTCATCAAAAGCACCATAGTTTGAGTACTTATTCTGTGGACTGTCGTGTTCAGCAGTCTCCAACTGCACAACCAGTACGCTCAGAAACCCTCTGCACCTGTGAGAGCATTGCTAGCGACCGCGGCTGTCGCGGCGGTCTCGCCGGTCGCGGCTGCGACTTCGGCTGCGATCGCGTCTGTGACCTCTATCATTACCTTTGATGCGATGACTCTGTTGGCACACCGATAGCTGCTCTTAAACAAACATGAAGGGACATCAAGTATGCTCGACTGCTTGTGAGTCTTAACTTTGTAAGTATTATTGGCAACAGGCTTTTATCACCTGGTTCTGCGGGCTAAAGTCTTGTGATTGCAGTCTTGATGTGCCAGCCTGTGGGTTGTGGTTGACCCGGTGTTGCTACTGTGCTGAACACCAAATGAGCTATAGTCTAAACTCATCTGAATTCCAGGTGTCCCGCCAAATAAAGACCTATATTACTCCCCTATACAACCCCTTTTAAGGAGTTATCCCGCTTGATAAAGACCTGTACTACTCCCCTATACAATCCCCTTTAAGGAGTTTAGACTATAGCCTTTTTTGCATCTGGGCTCGCACACAGCCAGAATACAAGAAGCAACCTGTGTCTCATGTTGTTCACAAGACAGCACTAGCCAGCAAAACATGCACATCACCACTCAACAGTCAGAGAGAAGCCATAGTCTAAACCCTAAACCCACTATAGCTCAAATGGGTCTTAAGTCTGCCTAGTAGCGGTCTCTGTCATGATGCCGGTCCCCGTCACGGTCCCTACCTCAGTTGGAATTGACGGCCCGTATAGCCCTATCGGGATTTCCCAAAACTAGGGGATATATAGGGGTTTATAGGGGCTATATAAGGGTTATATATAGTGTTTAGGATACCTTTTTGGGGATCCCCATGAAAAGGAGTATAGTGTTTTGGGGGCTATATTGGGTTCCCCCTTATTTGGGGAAACTATCATAGGGTTCTGCTAGAAACATGACGCCTCCCCTTAAACCCTAAACCCTAAACCTTAAACCCTAAACCTCCAAAGCCCGGCTGCGCTCTCCACGCTCGCCATCATCTTTGCCGTCCTTGCCGCCACCTTTACCCTTCTGTGGCCGCTCCGGAGGGTCTGGCAGATCGTGGCCGTCAATCAGCTGCCTGGCAATCTTGCATAACCTCAGAGCACCGGGCACATTGCAAGCACTCAACAAAGCTGCAGCTTAGCACTGCAGATCACATAGGCGCCAACAAACTTGCCTCGCACAAACCGCTGCCTGTGACTTAATACCAATATAACCCTATATACTATATTATAGTAGTTTCCATTTTCTTTTCCATTATCCCTATATAACCCCAATATAACCCCTATATTCTTTTTGGAAGGCTTTACAACATCGGCCCAGGGACATTGAGGAAGCGTTGCTCGAGTTTTTCAGGTGCTTCCGCACGCAGGTCAACACACGCTCTTCGTCTTCAGAGCCTGGACCGAAGGGTATCCTATCAAAAAGACCATCGGGAGTTTCATCCCTATATTACTCCTATATAATAAGGGAGTTTAGGGTTTAGGGTTTATGATGTAGCCCTATATATAATAAGGGATTAAACATGCCAGCCTTTGAGTAGGGGTCCACTCCTGCATCTTTCTGCTCTGCTGGCCCCAAATTATTCTTCTTTGGCTCAGCTGGATTTTCTATAATGTATTAGAGTGGGGCAAGCAGCCCGGCCATCTTGACAGGTCTATTTGAGATGAAGATTGCGGGTGTAGCGCCAACACCCTCCAAAGAAGCTTTTGCTACCCTGCCGCAGGTGACAGGGTGGCAGTGCCGTTACGTACATGAACAAGGCCGCCTGGCGCCCGTGAGAGGCCTGGTTATATTTAGCTGGCACACTTTTGGAAGATCGTGCGCATTCAACGCAAGGGGAGGAGGCCAAGTTGACTTTAATATTATAATACTAATATTATTAATACTAATATTATTACTAATATTAATGGTAATATTTTCATTAATATTCTGAACCCATGGCTGGACCAATCGAGGAGCGCTTCTCAATGATCTCCCGCATCTTTGAACAAGCATCCTGCAGGGAAACGGGCTCTGCATGCATACAGTCCCCCTTAAGTAGATAGAATGTGGCTTTGGGTACATTATAATAAGATCCCCACATACCCCCTATTCTATCTACTTAAGGGGGACTATACCTCATAGCAGTTGGCGCCACGTGCTGGCTGCTGGCATCTTCCTCATCCAGCTTGAAATCGGTCATTATCTTCTCGGCGTTCGTGAGGTCCGGCAGCTCATCTATTTCGCCTTCCAGCAGCCTCCCTACCTAAGTTCCAGGCCCGCGCTTGT